CCCTCCCCCCTCCCCCCCTCTCCCCTCCCCTCCCCTCCTCTCTCTCTACCCCCTCCACTGTATAACCCTGAGGGACGTTTGCTTGTTTTTAGAGAGTTGTGTTATTTTAAGATTTGAGAAAATTGCATCTGGAAAGTGTGGAGTTCTTTTTTTTTTTTTGAAGGATGAATTCATATTTTCTGCTTGGATTGCAACCAGGGTTAACATATGGCAGTGCATCAAAGATCTCAGAAAATTTTTCTTTATCAGTTTGTGGAGGTGGGTCTGGGACAGTTGGCCTTCATTGTTGTTCTGTGGATTAAATAGAAGGAAGGGGAAAAAAAGTCAAAGAAAACATGCTAAGATTGTTGCATTTCTAATTTCTTAAAAGGTAATGTGAAAGTCAAGTATCACCACCATGATTTTTATATACATGAGGACATTGAGAGCCCAAGAAATCATGGGATAGTTGTCAAGTTCCCCTCCTTCCACTCGTTATTGATAGAATCACTCAGTGACAGGCAGTCCCACAAGTGGAAGGCAACAGTCTCAGAACTGGAATTTATTACCCTATTACTACCTTTGAGTATCATTTTCTCACTGCTCAGGAGCAAATCCATGTACTTGCTAGCTGGACCCAAGATAGAAAATCCAAATCTTTCCATCCCTACGCTCCTGTCAATCACATGCTTTCCTAAAAGCAGTCACCTCCACCTCTTTCCCCTTCTCTTCAGTGCACAGATGTAGTGATTTCTTTTCTGGTGACTTCATCTTCCCCCAGTCACTGAAATGCCCTTGTTATCACTAGTCTAACTGGTTCTGTAATGTTATTCAATCTTGTTATCAATGGGGAATTTATTACATCACTTTGGCTCTCCTTTCAAGCCTTTATTTTCACATCATTTCCATGTCCTCTTCTATTTCATTATTTAAGGTAACTTACAGCTTTTAACCTTAGCTTAAGTCTTATTCATAACTGTGTGAAATAGCCTGGCGGGAGGACTGGGCTCTCCTTCTGAAATGGATGTTCAAAGAGCCTCAGGGATTTTGTCCCACTTACGATGATTAGTGGAGAGACCCAAAGTATCTCAGCCAGTGACTTTTCCACCCTTCCACACTGCCTTACCCACTGAAGGAAGATAGGACCTAAGAAACCTTTGTGCTAGAAAGGTTTGAATGTATTGGACTCAGAGGCAGAGCCATATGTAACTTGAAGAATTTACTTTCAACCACATGATTCAATGATTGCTTTAATTGGTCAATTCACTGGAATTGAGTGATTATGTGCAACTTTGCTATTGTGACACTTAATGCCAGTCTTAACTAGAGCTGGAAAACACTGTCTTAGACCTGTGCAGCAAGATGTATTTAAAATGAACTGGGCTGCAGATGTGCGATTCTTTTGTATAAGCTAAACACGAATCCTGTGACTTTCCTCCCACAAGAATTGTCTAATTTAGGAATTTGAAGTTCTACTGCTTTGCCAGTGAACCAAAAGGCAGAGATGAAAGTGAAGTAATTAAACAAAGTAAACAACTTAGAAAAGTTGACAGGCACAGATATTTTTGTTTGAACTGGCTTAAAGATATTTGGGCGGTCAGTTTTAGAAAATATAAATGAAGATGTACCTAGAATGGAGGAAAGTGAGGAACAAACTGTTGGAAAGATTAAAACCATTTACAGCCAAGTAGAAAAATCTGGAATAATGGAGTACAACAGGAAAGTTTTAGAAACTTTTGTGGAGTATATCATAGAATGGTTTTAATATTAAAATGCCTAATAATTGTGGAGTGTATTTTAAAATGAGAAGGTTATAGAAAGTGAATGGGTCTCATATTAACTTTGAAGCTTCAGAAACACAAATAACATTCTTCATTGTCTTTTTAGATTTAGCCTTTTGTCCCCTTTTCATCTTTAAACTTAATTTCTAGCCATTCTTCTTTATTCTAAACATAGAAAACCCACAATGATTAATTTTCTATGTGCTCTTTATTTATGTGTATGTGTAATTCACCTATGTCCATTTAAAAGAGATAATACAATATAAATGCTTGAAATTTTTCCTCCACTGCATACTATTCAAAAAAAGTAGAAATCATGTAAAATGTAGAAGATATTCTGGACTAACTTCCAATCTATTTTTTGTCAATGACTTGGCAGCAACATAGAAATCAGCTTTTGAGACACTGTGAAACATCATATGACTCACCAAAGAAGCAAGGACGGGGCTGTGTTAAGTCCCTAGACAGATGCTAAGGCAAGCTTTATTTATATAGTTAGTGTTTATTTGGAGATTTGGAAAAAGAAGGCCCTTGCTGGGAGCCTTGAGGCATCCGTTCCATTTGCAAACAAAAGTCAGACAAACCAAACCAAATGAAAATTTCTCTTGGGTAAGCGTCTCCTAACTGATAGAAAAGTAAACTCAACAGAAGAGGGAGCCATATTTGTGCATTAGGTCTGAAGAGTTTACAACTGCTAAACACAGGTGAGAACTTTGGCTCAGGGCACTGAACAAGGCTGCAGGACACACAGGTATGCTGGGCTCACTTGATTTATCTCCTCGGGACTCAGATTCTCTATTTGCAAAGTGGAGCAAAACAGATAGTATTAAGTTTTTTTTTCCCCCTGCAGTTTATTTCTGGAAATGAGCTTTGAGATTTTGGAGTCTGAGTCTGTGACTTTAGAGCAGATTTGCCATGCTTCATTCTTATATACTCCACCAAGCTGTGTGAGGTGTGAATAGACAGGCTAGTCTGCAGGTCATAGACTGAGGCTTGGACCATTTTCTATGTTCAATAGCTTTTAGCTCCCACTAAAGCATAATGAAACAGGCATGTGTACGCATGACTTTGTTGTAAGTAAAACATTTCTGATCAACCTTCTAAAACAGGATTCATAAATACTGTGAATTTACTTACTACCGACGAAGCACTTTGTGTTTCGCCTCTTATCATTGATCTTTTACATAACTTTTTCCCCCTTAAATTAAGGGAAGAGAGAAGGAGGAGGGAAGTGAAGCAGCCTCAGATAGGTCCATTCTTACATAATCCCAAGCTTCTAGGGAACTCAGAGATAAAAGGGACATTCATTTCTAAAACCCCCAAGATGATCAAGCTCCCTGTTCATAGCGTTGTAGCCAAGGGCACGTAGTCCTCTGATTGGTCAGAGTCATCTGATGCCTTTGATGGCAATTCCATAAAACTCCTAGGAGAGGGAGTAATGCTGGGAATGCTAAAGCAGAGGATAACTGGGATGATGAAAATAAGTTCAAACGAAGTGACAAAAGACAGATGTCTATTAGAGGACTGATTTCAAATATAGTTTTATTATTTATCTTACAGAAAGAATATTCTAGTATATCACAGTATAGGAATACTTTGAAGGTAATGCACTCTATCAATTAGCGCTCTCTCTCTCTGAAATAGTTCAACTTTAAAATAAAGCCCAAAGCTGGGAATGATGGTGTGTTCCTATAATCCTAGCTCCTTGGGAGGCCAAAGCAGGAGAATTCAAAGTTCAAGGTCAGTCTGAGCAACTTAGGGAGACCCTGTTTCAAAAACAAAACAAAACAAAACAAACAAAATTTGGACTGTATTTTCCAGTGTTAGTAAATTTACTCTAACTAAATCGCCTTTTATTTCTTGTTCATACAGTTGTCAACAACTCACTAAGAATGGAGATTCTATGAGGGCAGGATGTATCTGCTTTGTTCATTGCAATAGACCTTACACAAAACATGTAATGATACTTGTTGATTAAATGAATAAACAATGATATTTAGGCTTCTATTTCTCCATGCAACATTTCATCCTATAGATTAATATCAAGCAGAGCTCTCATATTTCCTGCTCAAAACCTATTACTGCCTCAAAGCACAAAGTATTCAGTGCAAGTTCAGTAACATATAAAACCCTGAGTACATATCTTTCTTCCTAGCCTCATCTCCCTTTGCTGCTTTTCCATATCAAAGTGAATTGCTCACTAATATTTTTTTTCTTTCTTTTTAGTACCAAGAATTGAACCTAAGAGTGCTTTACCACTGAGCTACCCCAGCCCTTTTTATTTTTTATTTTGAGACAGGCCCTCACTAAATTGCTGAGGCTGGCCTCAAACTTAATCCTCCTGCCTCAGCCTCTCAGGTTGCTGGGATTACAGGCATGCATCACCACATCTACAGCTCATTCACAATTTCTATGAAAACTTCATTCATGTTTATTTTTTTCCCCAAGATTTTGCTCATGCTGGTCTCAATCTTATTCTTTTATTTCCACTTGCCAAAGTGCAGGTTATATGTCACATCCTTTGTGAAACTCTTCATAATTTGCCGAGTAGGATGCAATTTTTTTCTCTTCTGAACTGGAGCTTAAATCATATTCAGCTTTGTACTGTATTTATCTGTATTCTAGAGAGAGACAACACAGGCATGAAGCCACACTGGTCTTCCTTATAGCACTTGGCATAGTGTTTTGTCGAAGTATTTGCTATAAAGTTCTGTTGAACTGAGTGAGCTGTCTTATAGCAATCAGGCAGGTCATTGTAGGGTCTTGAGTAGGTCTATATTATTAAGGGAACTGAACTGCAGGTGGTGAGAAACTGTATCTCTAATATTCTTTGGTCTGAAAGTTAAGAGACCTTTGGATAATTATAATTTTGGGTGAGAGAAAGGTGCTTTCTGGAAAAGTCTCATTTTGTACAACAGTCTCACTTCAGCTGAGGTGTGATGACTGTGTTTTACTTTATACTTAGTGAATTTCCACAATCTGAGCCTCAAACTTGAGCAACACCTGAGCCAAAAGAAATGACATTTAATAGAAGCCTCTGAAGAAGATGCATATTAGAATTTCAAACCTGGGCACAGTTTTCACTTTCCCGAGGCAAATGTGGATGATTTAAAATTTCATCAAGGTGAATGTATTTTCTGTCAAGTTTTTAAGTGAATGTGGGTTGAAAAGTCTGGAAAGCTCAGGAGAACAGATGTCTTTTTTATTATGATTTCTTACCCAAAATGCAGGGAAAACCTGGCAGTTATTAAAGGGTTATACTTTGGGTCTGTGGGTACATTAAAATTCTAGAGTAGAGAATGGACAGGAAGTGATAAGTGGATAAAGCTTCTTCTAGCTGAACTTTTGAGAAGTCCATATGAAATAATTCCTAGGAACAAGATAAATGCATTGCAATAGATACGTTTTCCGGGGTGTGAAGAGGTGACTTGCTCCTCCTCCACACCTGTCATTTTAGGTCCTCATTACTTATGAAGTTTCTCCATTCTCTTCTTCATCGCTTTCTCTCGTCAGGTGGCGATGTTGATTTGTGCTGGTTTCCTGATTGCCTGGATCCCTTATGCAGTGGTCTCTGTGTGGTCAGCGTTTGGAAGGCCAGACTCCATTCCCATCCAGCTCTCTGTAGTGCCAACCCTCCTTGCAAAATCTGCAGCGATGTACAATCCGATCATCTACCAGGTCATTGATTACAAATTTGCTTGTTGCCAGACTGGTGGTTTGAAAGCAACGAAGAAGAAGTCTTTGGAAGACTTCAGGTAAAATCTCAGAAGCTAGAAATGAATCATGCACTCTTTGTTTCAAAATCCTATGGGGGTGGCGCTGGGGTTATAGCTCAGCGGTGGAGCGCTTGCCTCGCACATGTGAGGCAATGGGTTCGATTCTCAGCACCACATAAAAATAAATAAAATAAATAAAGATATTGTGTCCATCTTAATAAAAAATCTTTAAAAAAATTCTAAAGGGGTTCAAGCCACTAGGATATGCTATCACCTCAAGGTTGGAGTGTAATGTCCAGGAGTAGGATAAGAAGAATTTTATTTTCTGTCCATAAAAATTCCTAAAACAATATGTAGGGGTGGGATTGTGTGGGTAGATAGTGAGAAAAGTGATTCTCCTTTTGATTCTGGAACAACCAAGATGCTTCACTGTGTCAACTGGAGCAATCACTATGTGTCAATGACTCTTAACTTACTTACACGGAACCAAAGCCATTCTATTCCGAGAGTACTGTCCCACCTGGTATTGATCCGAAATTTCACACAACAGATGATTCTTTTGTTTGGGACATCACAACCACTAGCTAAGAGCATAGGCATTGGGCAGGCACAGGAACGGAAGAAGGGAGATGATGTTTTTGCTCAGTGCCAGATTCTTTTACTTTATGTTCATCAGAGCCCAAGTTATTCTTTATCCTTGTCAGATGAGGAAACTGAGATTCGAGTAAGATCAAGGTTAAGCACGTTTCAGTTGTTCTCATTAGCCATTTTTACAAAATATAGCAATTGCTCTGCTGAGGAAGGCAAGGGTTCATTCCTTGCTCTGGAATTTCAGCTTCCCCTGGAGTAGCATGCAGTGGTGCTGAAGCAACCAGGAGACCATGACTTCTAGAAGCCAAAGCCTCTTCAGGGAGGCAGTGTGGAAGATGTGCTGAGTGGCAGATTTTAGGAGAGTTGGGATGAATGGGGGACTGCTTCAGAGAGAAGCAGAAGGGCAGAAGATTTATTTTTATCTTTATAGTGAATAAAACAAAATCTTATTTATCTTTGTAGTTATTAAGAAGTTAAGCAGGTGAGTACTATGGAGACCCATAGCATGAGATGAAGGAACATGAAGCCGATCCAGAGTGGATAACTTACTGCTAGTGCAATTAAGTAGATTTGAACTGGACTGACATCCTTGTTCTATTTCTGAGCTCTGAAACACATTTGCTGATAAAGAGAAATCTTCTTGGGAAATAAATAATTTTGAATTCAAATGAAAAAGCTAACGTAGAGAATATGAGATGGTGGAAATAAATTTTGAGGGATTTTAACAGTTCATCACAAATTAAACTTATCCCATCCTTATGCACTCCCACTCTCAAATCGGATTCCCTGAGATTTTAGTAGAAGTTGATGAACCAAAAGGATAATATGTGGCAAGACCCCTTTTTGAATATTATTATTCCCATACTGAGGTATTTAGAGGTAGTCTCAGGCAAAGAGTGCATTTTCACTACAGCTCTGTGATCAAAACACCTGGGGAATTTTGAAAAGCTGCTATGGCCTGGACCCTACCTGCAGATTCAGCTTTTCATTGTCTGATTGGGCCTGAGCTTCAGTTGTTTGGTTGATTCTCCCACATATCTCATGCACAGTCATTGTTGAATGTTGGTGAAGCAGACGCTGAGAAAGGAAAAATTATCTGTGGTCATAGGTCTTTGACTCCATCTCCACAAAGACTAATAAGGCCACTTATGGCCAGTGACAGAGGAAACAGTCATTAGATCCTGGACCAGTCTTAGATGGAAAAGAAAGATCCATAAGACACACTGGGGCAGGACAGTGAAGGATAGACGTATTTTACTTTCCTAATATTTTAGCAAAGATAAAGAACAAGGGAGAACAAAGTCCTGAACTCTGGCATAGTTATTATAATTTAATCTCCCTTGACCACTTTAGTTTGCAGTGCTCTGTTTCCAAAGAATGCTCCTTTAATAGGTCAGTCCCAAGGCTCAGAGGAATGGTAGGCAGATGTGCAATGGATTTTGTTCTAGAGAAATCCAGACATGCTGTTAAAAAAGCATCTTGATTTTGGAAAGCTCTGCCCAAGAGATTTCTTGATTTTGAATATTCTAAATTGAAATATCATTTTTCATTCTAATTCAAGTCTTGTGCACATAGTATTCAAAGTAGTCAAGGGGACATGAGTGTGTGTGTGTATATATATATAATATGCATATATAATATGCATATATATGGATACATTAGTGTAAATATCTATGTCTATTAATTTGAATTTCTCCCATGTCTAGGCTGCACACCGTAACCACAGTCAGGAAGTCTTCTGCTGTGCTGGAAATCCATCAAGAGGTATGAAGATGGACACAGCATCACTCATGGACACATTTATTCAGTTATTCACCTCTTCACTGCTGTTAACATCTGATTGTAGCCACAGTTTTCTCTTTATATTATATTTTTATATTTTGTACACTTTTTTTTTCTGTTTTTCCTTTAGCCAGGGTTTGCTGGAAAATTCTAGTGGCCAAATGGAAACTAGATTAGAGGATACTACTTGAAGGAATAGTATGAGTGAGCATCCCTGGAACTTTCTTTTTAATTGTGCTTTAAAACCTATTGTCATGCCAAACAGTAATAATTCTGAGATATTAAGAAAAATGTTGAATATTTTATTTTTAGGGTGTTATTTAATTTTACTGCATCATCATTATTATCATTTCTTGACGTAGAGTCAGGAATGCAGTTTCTGGGGTTCTTTTTGGTGGGTAAACATCAGGATTGTGTGTTGGGCCATGGCTCTTTGACTGGTAGATGCTTCTGGTTCTCATAGCTATTCTCTATTCATGCTGACAGAAGGTCATACTCCAATAGCAACGATTCTGCAAAGAAGTCCTATAGGGAAATGAGTTTTGTCTGAAATCACTAAATGGAAAACTCTCTTTCTCTCTAAATTTGAGGACAAAAATAATTCCCACTGATGTTAATTTTACACAGGTGGGTTTTTCTTATTAGGGTCTAGTTACTGATATAGTGGATCTAGCATGGTACTACTAGCTGTAGTTGTTTAAGAAATGAATTTAGTGAAAATAGTTATGTGTAATTGTTATTTCTTGTTTGTTCTTTGTGATCTTTGTTCTTTCTTTGTTCATTTTTTCTTCATTGAATACCTTTTGAAATCCATAAAGAGATACAATTTTGAATGAGATGTAAAGATTTGAAGGGCAGACCTTTGTCCCTTAACAGCTAATGAAAGTGGCAGGCTTGTAAATACTAGGTTCAAATAGTATTAGTAAAATCGATGTCAATCTGATCATCTCTCCTGATCTGAGGAGCATGACCATCTGCATTGCTATTAAAGAATAGCTGGCAGGTATCCTCCACACTTCCTTCATTCCATCTACCTCCACCTTCTGCTATGAACCAAGTCTTGCTCATGGATTCTCATTCTACCTTCTGGTAACTTCTAGTTAAAAAATAGAAAAGGGGAGGAAAGCGACCACTTGTGCCATTGATGATCTCTCCATCCTTCCATTTGAAGGTTCAGAGAGAATCGGACACACCTCCAAGGCTCAGCCCTCTATGTATGGTACCATCTTTAGTTCATTTTGAGTTATCTTGAGAGTTGGGGTAGGGGATGAAGAAGAGATTGATGTTGTCATTGGTTTAAGATAAGTGTCAAATAGATGCTACAAAACATGCTCTGTGAATAAAGCAAAAAGTTAACTCTGAGTGGGGCTTGGGATTGTTTATCAAAGTTTGAGAAAAGAAACAAAATTGTTATTAGAAGACAGAGGCAAGGGACTTTAAGGCAGATGTGTAAATTATAGAGGCATGAAGGGGTGTGGAGTGGGGCACAGCTGTAAAGTACAGAGTCAGGCTGCCCGGGTTTGCACCCTAGTGTGCCCTTTGGCAAGCTTGTAAAATAAGGATGTGAAGTATCACAGGGTTATTGTGAGTCTTAGGTGAGATAAAAGGCACTTAGCACCATGCTTGTGACAGCAAGAACACCCCCTGCATATTGATGATTGCTGTTGTTAACTTTCAGGTAGGTGTAACAGTTCAGAAGTAGGGCCAGCTATGATAAGAAGGACCAGTCTGGTGGTGTTAAGGAGGGTGATCCTCTGGGACAAATGAAAGATCAAGATCAGGGGTCATCCGACCAGTTAGACAGCTCTTTAAAGAAATGACAGTATATGAAGACCTGAATTAAGGAATGACAATGGAAATGGAGTTGAAAATATAGCTGTAAAATATTGTAAAATGTAGTTCTTGGCAATTGATGACACAGAGTTAGAAGAGTCAAGGATGGCTTGGGGGCATCTGCTCAGGAAATAATGTGGAAAATGGTGTTGGCAGAGGAGAAAGGTTCAAGAGAGGGGAGAGAGAATTAATAATATTTTGGATGGGTTGAACACAAGGTATTTGCAACATAGGTGAAGCTATTCAAAATAGGTAGCTGAAAATAATCTGAGGCCACACACAATGATATGGAGATTATAGAGTTAAGGAGTCAGGCAGAAAAAGAAAAATTAAAAGAAATAATTGCCGGTGTCAATAGACTTGAAGGAAGAAAAAGAGTCTTTTTAATTTTTATTTTTTATTCCTTTTTTTATTCCAATTATCTGAGGGAGATAATTGTGGAAGGGAATCATGAAGAGATTAGAGGGAAAAAGAGGGAGATAATAACAGATAATAACATAATAACATTCAGGTTAGTGTAGATTTGTCTACAATGTAAAATTTAACATTGGTATTATAGTTCTGTATAATGAAGATAGAAAGTACACTTTCGTTTTTTAACCGTTAAACTGAAATGTGGCCTTAAAAGAAAACCTGGGCTGGGGATATAGCTCAGATGGTAGAGTGCTTACCTCACATGTACAAGGCCCTGGGCCAGCATCACCACTGGAAAACAAAACAAAACAAAACAAAACAAAACAAAAAAAACCTGTGCAGAAGTAGCATAGTGGGGAGGGAAGAGAGAGTTTAAATTCTCTGGGGAAGAGATCCTAGAATTAATTCCTGCTACCAATTCAAAATATATGATTTTAAATCCGCCAATCTAATTTTAAAAAAAATAATACTCTAAGAACTAGGAGGCACAGAATTGTTATCACTATTGATACAGAAAGAGAAATTTGATCCTTGGAGTAGAAGGGAGAAAGAAAGGAATAAGGAAGTCATCAAAGGTTGGCTGTGAGTGAATAATTTCCCCAGTTGAGTTGTGCTTCCCAGGGATGTCTGATGATTTGAGGAAACTCTGTTACCAAACACTTCTGTAGTTTTCAATTTAAGTTTGCTTTAGATTAAAAAAAAGAAGAAGAAGAAGAGGAAGAGGAAAAAGATTTGATTGCATTTTGTGTGCTGGTAGTGGTGTTTGAGAGAGACCACAAAATCTTTGAGCAGGCAATGTGCACCTCCTCTGGGCTCTAAGTGCCTAGGTGCCTGACATGTGAAGGGAATTTGGAAATTAAGTGATTGGAATCAAACAAGCAACTGTCAGGGGAGATTTGGAAACATGGGATGAACTATTGAATTGATAATCTAAAATCCTCAATCCCTGGTTTTTCATTTTAAACTCCCTTGTTTCTACGCACCTCTATTTAAACATGGCCTGTCCAATTAATAAATGAATGGATAAATGAATTTATAAAATGGGTATGAAGACTAGAGATGCCTTATTCACTTGGAAAGTTGGATTTTAAGAATCATAATAAAACCTAAATATATTTTGACATTTTTTTCCAAGTAGGGTGAGGCAAGAGGAATATAGTTCACAGTAAAATCCAATTATTTGATTCTTAAAATGTAGTTTTCTCAAGAGTCACACATGCTGATTATTTACAACTGAAATGGTAGCTGAAAATTTTGTCCTCTTTAATTTTCCCTTGAAAAACATACCACTGTCTTTGATGGTCTTTAGCAATAGGAACCACAGACCCCCTGAATGTGGCTATATCTTCATTAAGCTACTGTAGATGAGGAAGAAAAGACAAAGGAGAGGAGAGCAAGACAGGAACAGAGCCAGAGAGTGCTGATGAGCGGGGTGCTGGGGGGACCCATGACACCCGTGTAAGGAAATGTCTTCAAGGTTGCCAGAGCCTCAGTGCATGTTTTATAGAGAGCAAAGTTATATGTCATTACAGAAAAGAGGTTAGTGAAGACAGCATCAGCCGTAGATTCAATAATTAATTTTGTTGGGAAGGAGCCAGGCCTCATTGTCCAGAAGGACAAAGTGATAACCATTATCTATTCCTCTTTTTACTTTTGATTAATGTGCATTAATTGAACATATTAATGACATTCAGTGAAACGTATCAATATGTGTCTGCGGTGTGCACTGATCAAACCCAGACTCCTTTTATCCACCCTCTCTCTCCTCCCCTTCCCCAATCTCTAGTTATCACTGTTCTATATTCAGGTTGACTTTTTTTTTTTTTTTTTTTTTTTTTTAAACTTTCTCACAGGAGAGGGAATCGGTAAAACTTGTCTTTCTGTACCTGGCTTATTTCATTTAATGTAATGTCTTCCAGTTCCATCCATTTTGCTACAATTGACAGAATAGCATTTTTCTTTATGATTGAATAATATTCCATTGTGCATATAAATCACATTCTTTTTGTCTACTCATCCATTGATGAGCACCTGGGTTGATTCTATATTTGGCTATTGTTAGTAGTCTGTATTCCTCTTGTGTAAAAGTGGCAAAAGGCAAGAATTTTATACAGGAAACAAACATTGACATATAAAACACTTTTCTCAATTATTTTGAATATCTCCCTTAGCCATGCCAAATATGCCCTTGCATTACCACAGGCCCTGGAACACATAAAACATAAATGAGAGAAAAAAAAGCATTTAAATTGTACATGTGCTTTACTGGTTTTATTTTTGTTTTAAACATTGGCCAAATCTACATAGCAAATATTGCATGCATTCATTGTACTTTATATTTAGGAACTTTTATTAAGTGCTGGAAGTATACAGCATCCTGAATATTTTGGGAGATGCAAAAGAAGGTAAAAAATGTGTTTTAATTGTTTAGGAACTTGGGATTTTAGAAGAAATGTTGCCTAACACACACACTCACATACACACACACACACACACACATTTTAATTTTAATAGTTTCTAGACGAGGACCTATGTATTCTATCAGGCTTTGCTTTGACAGGATACTTTTAGAAACTCTAAAATATCAGGACAGGTCCTGGGAAATTTATTTGTGTATGTGCTTCTGGTCTTTAGATGAAGAGAGGAATGTGGGGCTCCTGCAAGGTCCTCTAGAGAAGGATTCATTCATTGCCAGGGGCAATGATTTGTAATCTTTGGATGACCGAATGCTGACTTGAGCA